AGACAAACATTCTGCAACGCGTGGGAAAATAAGCTGAGGTCGTGTTTATATATACAGTCCAACAGTCAGATTATAACTCTTGATTCCCACACTTCTGTGCCATTCATATGTTCGACTGAAGCCACATTTTCCTTAAACTCTTTTTCAGTCATGCTGCATGCTAATAAGTTTCAAGACTGCTTGCTTTCGAACGATTTTGCTTTCCCATTTGTGTTGGCTGTTGGCTTATCAGTTCTCTTTGATGTTTTCTAAAAATATAAGCAGTATACAAACATGGTTTGCCAATGCAGTCGCCCGACATGTAGCGGCCGGCATGTGGGGTCCGAGTGCGCCCGTGACCACTTGGATCTCATGCATGCAACATATGCGTTTTCGATTAGTGATGTGTGGCCTCCTCACACGTCGCTTCTAGTGCTTGTGGTTGTTGAAAGTTGCGCAATGGTGGCCTCAAACAAATGTCTGACCGTACTCGCAAGTAGCCTGGCAGTGTGAGCGTAGCCTGGTGCCAGCGCAACGTGCCCAACACTACGGCGCCATAGCATTCAAACAACGCTCCACCTGAAACCCAGTTGACACCATGTACAAACAGTGCCGGAAATTCACTTCCTGCGTGTGCTTTGGCCTTCGTTCACAAGCTCAGCGCACCAACAGCCAAGTGTATTCTCAGCGTATGTTTTACTCTGCTGCTATTACGCAACCAGGCTGGGTTGGTTTTGCTTGCTCCTGGACCTGCTGGTATGGTTAGTTGAGAGTTGAGAGTTGAGAGTAGTTGGACAGCCGGGCAGTTTGAAAGTTTTGAGTCTAGGCCCAGGAGGCGGGCATAACAAGAAGCTACTAGGGGCTCCTGGCCTTACTACTAGGAGCAAGGACGCTACTAGGGGCTCCTGGCATCCCTACTAGGAGCAAGAGGCTATATACTAGGAACAATGATTTAAACTTTCAATCCGGTTTTCGAAAGTCTAGGCCCAGGAGGCGGGCACTTTAGTCTTCCGCTCAGGTGGCACTTGATGCCCGCGCAGTTGTGTCCCCAGTGGTGTTTGTGCAGAAAGCCCCCATGCACCAAGATCAGCGGGGCTTCGGACGTGTATAGCAGAAATGCTTCCATCTCAGCTGATGCATGCAACTCCTTGGCTCAAGACTTAGCTTTAAACATGTGAGGCTTTAGGAGTTGTTTGTATTATGCAGCTGGTTGGTTGAGCTGGGCCCTTCGGATGAAAGTGCTTGGAGCTCTTGTTTATGCAGGATGGCAGCCGCAGATCCCAGGTCCGTATGCAAGCCATACCATTCACCCATTCACCGCCACACATTGTACACAGAGAGAGAGAGAGAGAGAGATATATATATATATACACGTACCGTTTGTGATGCTTCCAGCCATGATGTTGATGACAAAGTAGTTCAAAGGTCTAAGGCACCAAATGCACATCTTCTGAATGTGAGAGCTGGGCCGCTTGAAGACTGGCTAGGTATGCGCTGACTCTTTTTGAAAACTGGGACTGCATTGGAGTGCGCACTCCATTCGCCTGGGACGACGTGCACAAGCAGATTTTGGAGGGCTTTGGAGGAGTTGAGTCGAGTGTGTTGGAGGCCATCGCTATTAGGTTGGAAGGCCATATTAGGTTGGAGGCCATCGCCATTAGGTTGGATCCCATCGCAATCAGGTTGGATCCCATCGCCATCAGGTCGGAGGCCATCGCGATTAGTTTGGATCCCATTGCGATCAGGTGATCCCATGGCTATCAGGTTGGAGGCCATCGCTATTAGGTCGGAGGCCATCGCTATTGGGTTGGAGGCCATCGCTATTGGGTTGGAGGCAGGCCATCGATGTAGTTTCAAATTGGTGGGTTTCTGCACCTCTTGCAGGACCTGATGGCCCGCAATTTCGAGTACATGCGGATTTGCTGGCTTCCTTTGAGCAGGATTTCGACAGCAGCTTGCAAGAGTGCCCCTTGGGATCTGTGTACATTGCATTGGTGGGCATGTATAGCATGAGGGACGGCCAGATTGGTGAATCTCAACAAGACAAGCTGGAATCGATTAGAAAGCAAGCCGAGAGGCTCAGCATCATGCTGGGACAATTGCCTATTTTGATTATCGCGGGCTCGCGCTGGCCTGTGCATGAAGCTTTGCAGCACTTCCGACGCTGGCCACTGCCTTTTCACCAAACTCATCAGACTTCACCTTTCGGCGATTGCAAACAGGGTGCTACAGGAATTGATTGGCAGCAGTTATTGGAGGTGTCAGGAAAGTGGAGCGAGCAAGGAATGCTGGGCTTGGATCCTGGGGAAGGTTCTTCCGAATATACCTCCACTATCATTGCCGCTTTGGAAAAGATTGCTCAAGATCCTTCAGCTATCGGGGATGCTGCACAAGATGAGTGCACTCTGGGCTTCTTATTTATTTGCTTGGTTCAAACAGTTGCAGCTACTGCAAGACAAACCAGCACGCTGGATGTTTGGGCAGTTGCAGTGGACAGCATGCTGGGTTACGTGCCCTTTTTCACGATCTCAAGTTCCCGATGGCCAATTTTTCAGGTCCTGGCGATGCTCTCAATATTGTCCAAGGGTCCCGAATATGGCCAAGCGCTGCCAGGATTCCAATCTGACGTTTACAGATGGGCAGGTGCTCATCCAGTTTTCAAAAACTTCAGGGCTTTTGGCGACTTGAGACTGTCACGGGATGAGATCCTACCATTCGGCGCAGACCAGGAGGCCCTCATGTATTCGCAGATGCTCTCCCGCATGGACGGGTTGCAGTGGCAAGCTGCCCTTGGTAACTGGAGGATTACAGCCTCATTGAGACCAGGTTTTAGAAATGCATTGGATGCTGTCATGCAAGCACTGAGGTCCTCTCTGCATCCAGGGCATGTAGAATGTGGACACTCAGGAATCTCAAGGGCGGACTGTATCCAACGTGGATGCTCGTGGCGAGATTCTGTGCCGCAAGTACCAAGTTGTCAACGGAAGGTGGCCAAAAGGAAGCTGCTCCTCACAAGCTTTGTTTGGGGACATGAATGGTCTCGCATGATCCCACGCTTTATTGCTTGGATGCACAAGCTCAAGATGGCGACAGTGTTGGTATCGATGGGCAAATCCTGCCGCGATGCCTGCACAATCGCGGCCCAGGCGGTAGGTGGATTTGGCAGTGGCCTGGTCACTTGCTGGGATCCTTTCCTGCGCCTCAACATTTGGCAGGCATTTTTTGTTTCAGTTTCAGTATTGAACCCTCCATAGCCCCTGCATGCTCATGCACAAACTCTAACGAAAGATCCAACTCAGGGAAGAAGACTCGAGTGGTCTTGAGAATGAGCATGGTTCCATTTTGCAGCGCCACGCCATGATCCACTTATTGCTGCACTTGGGGGTAGATGTGCGGCTTGACCTGAACCTGACCAGCTGCTAATTAATCACACTAATTGTCACACCATGACTAGCTTGAATTGCATTCACAAGTGGTCCATGGTTGGCTGATTGGTGGGCACTCTTTGGACCGTCATTGGCTTGGACTTAGGCTTGCTTTCGATTTTGACACCTTCTGGTTTCAAGACGCGCGGGCTTACCTGGAAGAGATTGCAGATCACAAGAAGGCAGACGTGCTGATGACAAAGCACCTTGATTCAGACTGCCTCAACATGGGTGACTTGCATGCTGGTACCATTTTTACTGTGTCGTGTGGCCAAAAGTCAGTTGACTCACCAACTCCGAAAGCTTCTTCATGGAGACATGATGAAATGAGGGCTGCTTTACATCCGCTCTTCTGCTCAGACTGCGAAATGGTACACGAAGCACCTTGGACGGGTCTGCTGATTCGGTTGTGAAGTCTGCACGGCCAACGGACACGGAGTCAACAGCATAGCAATCATGAAGCAAGTGCAAAGTGCAAAACAACAAAGGCAGAAAGGACAAAGTTTGAAGAAGTTCTTGTTTCTGAAAGCGCTTTTATTGATAACTATTGAGTTACAATTAGAACCAACTTCCAGCAAGCCTAGGTATTTTGCATGGCTTCATCTCCATCCCTATGAAGATGAGCAGCGTGGGATGAATGCGTTGTTGGGCTTTACGAAACAGAAGGCCCGACTTGCAAAGCTTGGGATTCCACGCATAGCCAGAGGTGAGCGCTGGACCTGTAGGTACAGAAGGCGATCCACCAAACAGACAGACGGTTGCATTTTGTACATTGGAGTTGTTTGACGGAAGCCCTTTCAGGTATCCGGTATCAGGCACTTGGAATCTGCAGCATTTAAAAGAACCTTGCAAGCCGTTTTGAGGATAGCGGGGTGTGTGAGGTCAGGCCTTTTAGTTGTTGTGTTTCCTCACGTTTGGCGCCGCAGCATCGAAGTCAGTTGCTCTGCGCCGTTTCAATATTCAGTTGTGCAAGACAAGGCGTTTACTGACCCAAGACGTCCAAGAGCTCTCTTGGTCAGACTGTACGGGGTAGGGCAGATGCACGACCGGTCAAGTTTTGGAGGTATCATTTGCTCCTGAGATGCCCCAGCTGGTCACTTTCGCGCTTGATGATGCCAATGAGTTCGCGAGTAGCCGTGGTGGATGGCTTGGAGATTGGCACAACCTTCGCTTTTTTTCATTGGGTGAACCCTGTTGAAACGACCTCGATGCTTGGATTTCATTCATTGGATTGCAGATGCTGTTGTGTGGCCTTGGCACTGATCTAGTGGTCCCTTGTCGGAAACCGCCGGATTGCTGCTGGATGTGATACAAGCGTTGTGTGAAAGAGTTGCTCAGATGTGCTGTTGATGGTGGCTTACATCATTCTCGCCTGACTCAAGGTGTACTTGTGTAGATCTCGGTGGTCGCCGTATCATTAAAAAAGAATGGTGAATCGGTGGCTTTTTCATGTGGTTTCTGGTGGTTGCGGGTCGGTGAAATCTGCGATCTTGTGCGGGATACGCTGCATCTTTATAACAGCGGGGGGGCATGCTGCATTTTTATAACATCTATCGTTTTTTCATCTCTTTGTTTTTTCGGGATAGTTGAACGTTTTCGTTTCTTTTGGAGGACTCTTGTGTTGAATTCCAAACATTTTCAGGTTCAACAAAGCAACAAACATTTGGTGTACAGTGTGCTGTACCCTTTCCTATCGGTTACCTTTGCGCCCGGCTGCTCCCCATACTCCGAACCTTTTGATTGTGTTTGCGACTTGTTTCTCTACTATTTCATCGTCTATGCTCCAGTCCAGCTGTCTACCTTGGTACTGTACTCTTCACTTTGCTTAGCTTGTCGAGTCCCATATTTATCATCCACCAAGACCAAACCACGGGAGGATGCAGGATGCATCCCAATTCTGGCACCCTGCTCGTCACTGGTCCCGACAGAACTTGCCTCCTCGTTCATCCATAGGTCAGCCTCCACCTATTGTCCTTCTATGTTGCTCGGGGTGTCCGCACTTGTCGATGCTTTGTCCGGGGCTCCTACAGCCCATTGCCCCATTACCATTACATGAACCTACAGTTTTTGCCATCAACAGCAGCAACTTTTGCCTAGGAAACTGTTTGGGGTTTGTGTAATTCATTATTGGCGGCACACTTGAGGAATTGGCGAGATGTGAAACTAGCTGACTTGGATTCATTGTACTTGGCAGCGCTTCACTCCAGCACTGATCTGGCTTCACACGGCTGGGCCCTGGGAGCTGCGATCCTGGGGGCACCAGACATGTCCATTGCCAAGCAGACGCATGGTGCCCAGTGTGGGAGGATTCGACCAGAATGTTCTAGATTCATTTTAAAGATTATAGCTACATAGTTCAAGCTTTGGGACATTTTGGAACATAGAGTCCTGGCTTTGGTCCTTGCGTTGTGCAAGGTTTGCTGAGCAAAATCAGGTATGGAGCATGCGGCGCGCAGTGTTCATTCTAATTATAATCGCTCTCGTTTTGCCCTTCGACTCGCCCTACACGGCTGATGTGGGCCCAAAAGATAACTTGAGAAGGTTCCATTTGTTTATGAAGGAGTTTAATCATCAAAATGGAGCTGCTCTTGATGTTGCATAGGCTCGCTTTCCTAGTAGCCTGCCGCTCATCGAAGGCTGGGGTTATATTGTTTTTTTGCTCTCGCCATTTTCTCCTGAGTCAACCTCCCTTGGGCATTCATATCCTGGCATTGCGTAGGCCTGCAGAGGCGACACACTCACACACAGAGGCATGTATAACTGCGTATAGTTGTCACTTTAGCGCGAAGCGCGCAAACTGCTTGCATATGTTTGCATACAACATCGTGGCCAGACCGCTTCCATTGATGAAGCTAATGAAGCAGGCGAGGCCCCTCAAAAGGGGAGACACTGCAAGTTCACTAGCCAGGCTGAAACTCTCCTTTGCTGGGCAGCTCCTCTCACAGCCAGTTGCATTTCCTGAAGCTTCAAATGGATTGTCCCTTCTGGCGGGAAGCTTTGCCTGCCGATGTCAACGAACTTGTACGCAAACATGCACGAGGCCTTTTCTCAAAAAATTGCCAGAAGCGAACTGAGACTGAGGCCAGCTTGGGCAGGCAAAGCGTTGGCAGGTATGGCTTTGCAGCGTGAAAAGATAAAGCACGTAGCAAGACAACCCGGCTCAGCACGCACCACCGCATCCTACCATACATTATTGTTATCTCTCCCCGCGTGTTACGCCACAGCCCTACTAGCAACAACCCTGCTCCTTTGATGCACAAGCTCTTTTCACTGTATGGATCTACACAGGGCAGCAGCCAGGCAGCACCTGCCTGACTGCTGCATTTAACTCCCAATGCACAGAACCAGGACCAGTGATGTTGCAGCGGGGATGGATTGTATACTGGCCGTATCCAGTCTCATCCCAGTGTACACCCACCCGTGGACTGAGGCAAACGGTCTTGGAAGATTTCAAAGTGAGCCAGCATCCGGAGAGAAGAAGCTGTTGGTGAGGAGAAGCTTGAGCCAGAGCAGTCGAGAACAAGTGAACAAGCTGCTGGTTTAGTGAAGAGGCCAAGCCTTTTAAGTCTATGGATTGAAAGGAGTTCCACAAAGAAGGAGTAGCAGGTGGATAAGTGAGAAGCTGCACCTCCCAATGCGATTCGCCCGACGAAAGGAACAAAGGGCAAGGAGTGTGCTGCCATACGCCTGCTGTCCAGGAACCAGCACATCAAGTGTGTAAACTTGTGCGCGGTTGTGTCACAAGTTGCGATGAGATCGTAGCTTCGAAAAGGGTGCTCCAGGTGCTCCACATCAATTTGCGTGATTGTTGACAGCTTCAGGGGCGCAGGATTTGCCGACCAAGGCGCATGGTGTGTGCCGGGGTCACTGGGGACTCGGAGAGCGTGATCCGCTTGATTTGCCGCGTGGCCTGCGGCCCAGAATAACGGATAATAAAAGCACACACTGATGGGTGAAATAGGAGAATGCAGTGAGGGACGGGATGAGTCACAGAGGCTGCGATCTTGGACACTTCGAAACCTGACTCGTTTGGGCTTCTTCATGGTGCATGGACCAATGGCACGCAGGCTGCGGAATAGATGGTAGAACCAGGACTTATTGCGCTGTTTGACTTAATGTTCAGGTGGAAGTGGAGCAGCTGCACAGGCCGTGGTGACTTGTTTGACTGGGACTCAGCCAGTGATAAATAGCGGGCACTTTGGAGGCAGCTGACGGAGGCTGTGCAGATGTACAACGCCTGCATCCTAGCATTCGATCATTCTTCCTTATGTGTGCGTGTGGCTGGCATATGAACGCCTGCTCATCTCACATTTAAAGCTTTGGTGACAAAAGTGCAGCATCAGTGCCAGAAGCTCAGGATCGAAGAGCAGCAGCAGGAGGAGTGCCGGCTCATGCGGCTCAAGCCTTGGTACATGCTAAGCTGGTTTTGCGTGCGTTGTTCTGCTAAGGAGTACCCGCTCGCTAGGCAGAGAAAACGGTAAAAAGCCATTTGATTTTCAATGCTTTTACCGCGCGTGTGGTAGAAAAAGGCGAGCCCGCGGGGAAAACGGTAAAAAAACAGTCCGCCAAACCAGCGCAGCAATGATGGAAGCAAGAAATACTCAAAGTAGAACAATGGCAAAAGAAAGCGCAAACATCAATAGAATGCGCAAACTCATGATTGAGGCCTGTTTGCTGTGGCGGACTGCCGCAACTCAGTACTGGCTTCAATGCGTGTTGCACTCAGGCTGACATAGGCCATGACAACCAGAATCCGCATAGGTCGACTTGACTACTAGGAACAAGGACGCTTCTAGGGGCTCCTGGCATCGCTACTAGGAGCAAGGACGCTTCTAGGGGCTCCTGGCCTTACTAGTAGGTTGGAGGCCACTTGACTACCCCTTGCTAATCCGCATGTTTTCTCCAAGAGAAGCCGATGCCATCCTGGTCAAGTAGTGCTGTGAATCAGGATGGCATCATGCTTTTCCAGCCGGGTAGCTGTGCAGATCCCTATCGGGCTTATGGTGGCTGCCTCAACCTGTTTCACGTATTTTAGCAGTATTTGCAGCGGGCAACTTGTGCTTGACCCCGAGGTGCAGCTGCTTTAATTTGAGGTGCCTGAGTCGGAAAGCTCGTATTTGTTTGCCAACCTTTGCTTAAAAAGCAAAGCGGCAGACTTGATTGGCTTGTAGGACTGCGTTGAGACATGTGCCGGCGAATGGCAGCAATGTTTTCCTTTTTCTGCAAGTTGCCGGGTTCGCTTGCAGACATGTGCTCACTAGGGCATTCAACTTTTGTGCGAGTGGCACCCTTGGCTGAGTTTGTGAATCATGGCAGTTTGCAAGGCTTAGTGAGTGGGCATAAAACCAGGCAAGGGCCCTGATTGTCCCGAAATCTGAAATGCCCAATAGACGAAGAAAGTTACAAGATGTCACAAACTTGTCTTGTATGGTCTCTCAGGTTGAGCCAGGCCCGGGCAACCTTCAATACATTTCCATCGTGAGAAACAGTGTTGGATAGATTTGTTCGAGCAGCGATCGAATCTGGCAATGCAACGCTTCCGGTGGCTTTCACATCTTTCACCCCACTCGTCTCACTTTTTCGCTTATTTTCTTCACCAGTTTCACAGGCTGAGTGGAGAGGTGAGCATGTGAGAACAAAACAAGAAACAATTCATCCCTGAGATGGATCCTTGCGCAGATTATGGCATGTACCTCGTATGAAAGTCGTGTTGACCTTGCAGCAAACTAGTTGCTCAATTCCTTTTGTAAAGAGCTGGAGTTCAGCCGTTTGCCAAAATGAACCTGAGTAGTGGGTTGATCTGGGGCCAGCTGGGCCTTGTGGCAGTGCTTGCGCTTGGAACCACTTGCTGGCATTTCTATCGGGACAGGGTGGCCATCCGTGTTCGCCAAAGATGCACCAAGGAAAGTGGTGGCTTCGGAAAGACTCTGGTCTTTCACTCCCCAGACAATGTGCCCAGGAACTTCGTTCAGTACGGCTACCGCAGCAATCTTTGTGGCACAATTTGCGTATACTGCTGGCTTGTTTTGCCCTTGGCTGGGTATGTGGTCATGATGTGGGGCTGCTACATTGCTTATGTGATCTCCGATGGCATTCCATTTCCTCCTGGAGTTGACTATTGGAAAGAAACCTTTGCCTCCCCGCATGCCAGTTCCTGGAATGGTCTCATGCTGCCTTGGTGCGTTTGGTTCACCATTGTCCACATCAGCGCAGGGGTGGCTTCGAAGTTTTACACCGCCATGAGCGCCCACTCCATGCTTCCATGCAGCAACATGGAGGACGCGACGCATCTCATTGTGGATGAGCAAGTCTACGTTGACCCCGATGATGTGGCAGACCCAGATGAGACACAGGCAGAGGACTCCTGGATTTCTAAGAAGATGGCACGTTGCACACAGCGGGTGAAGCGAGCAAAAGCTCGTCAAGTGATGAAGATCCAGGAGGATGAAGATGGCACCCGCCATGTAGAGTACACTTGTGTGCGGTACATTTACAGTGAGGACTCCAGATCTTTTGTTCCAATCGGTTTGATAGAGGCAAATCCACCGGAGGCCCATGCTACCTTAGCAAGAGGTGGCTTGTCAAATGAAGCTGCAGCTGAGTCCTTGGCAGCTTGCGGATCAAACTCCATACACGTGCATGTGCCAGGCATTCTGGAGGCTTTGGGATCAGAGTTCTCTGACTTTACCTACATCTTCAACTCTATTGGCAGTTGGGCCTACGTCGCGTACTCCACATGGAACATTGGCTTTGTGTGGCTCTTCATGATGCTGGGCTCTGGTCTCTACCGGGCTCTGTTTATCGTTCGGCCCAATCAAAGAAAGATTGCCGAGATGGCAGCCATGAAGCAGAACTGCATCGTGCTGAGAGAGGGCAGGTGGCAGAAGATAGATGTCTCTGAGATTGTTTTGGGAGACATTGTGCAAGTTCAGGATGGCAACAATGCAAAGCTGCCGTGTGACGGGATCTTGTTGCAAGGCAGTCTGATTGTGAATGAGTCCATGCTCACAGGAGAGCCAATGCCTATTGCCAAAGCTCCCGTTGAGAACAGCTCCAACTACCGAGTCACGGACAAGCTCAATAGAGCTTATGCTGGGACCCTGGCTCTCGAGTCAACAGGGCCTGGTGAAGGCAAGTCAATACTTTACTGTACCAATATTGGAGCGTTAACAACTCGCGGCCAATTGGTTCGAATGGTGCTGTTCCCTGCGAGCGTGAAATTCAAGTACAACGACCAGCTTCCAATCGTTTACGGGCTAATGAGCATCTATGTGGCCATCATCGTGATTGTGCTCCTCACTTGCTCTGACATTGGCTCTGCTGTGGCTACATATCTCACCGTGTTATGCACTGTGGCGATGGCATTGAACCCCATGCTTCCAGTGTCCATGGTCATGGGCCAATCTGTGTCTGCCGGACGTCTTGATGATCCCAAAGGAAAGTATCAGATTAAGTGCCTCCAGCCCGGGAGGATCCCTATCGCTGGCAAAATCTCAACCATGGTGTTCGACAAAACGGGCACCATTACTAAAGGAGGCATGGACTTTGCTGGAGTATACGGTGTCAGCGGAGGACGCTTCAGCGACAAGGTGCAGTTCGACGACATGGATCCCGAGAGTGAGGAGAACCGTACCATTATCGACACCCCAACGGTGGTGCCACCAGTGTTGCGACGAGGACTTGCTACTTGCCACACTGTGAAGCAACTGGGCAGCACAGGTGCTTTGGTCGGCAACCAAGTGGAGTGTGCGATGGTCCGGACGGTTGGCTGGAACTTGGGGAAGCAGCAGATGACCTCACCCCAGGGCGAGGTCTTGCGAATCGTGAGGGAGCTCGAGTTTGACCATCACAGCATGACCAGCGGGGCTGTGGTGCGAGATGGCAACCAACGCCTGGAGGTGTTCATCAAAGGCAGCTATGAGAAGATCAAGTCGCTGGCCTTGCCGCAGACTGTGCCTCCAAATTATGATCAGATCACCATGCAGTGTGCCAAGCAAAACTACTACACTTTAGGGATCTCCAACAAAGATCTCGGTCCAATGTCAGATGAGCAAGTGCGCAACCTGCCACGCGAGCTCCTTGAACGGGATGTGAGCATTTGTGGCCTGTTGCTCTTCCGAAATGAGATGAAGGCTGACTCACCTGATGCGATTGAAAGCTTGAAAGAGGGTTCTGTACGCTCAGTGATTTGCACCGGTGATAATGAACTTACTGGCATTGCCATTGGCAGGCTTTGTGGAATTGTCACATCATCCATTTGCTTGCGCGGCACCATGGAGAATGGAAAATTGGTGTGGAATGATCCGGATAACGAGGGCCGTTCAGTCTCGCCTGAGTTCCCGGACCCTCATTGCCAGCTGGCCTTGACATGTTCAGCCTGGCGTTATTTGCACCAAGAGAAGAAGCAGCTGGAAGGCTTGTGGCCTCGTTGCGTGGTCTTTGCCCGCATGAAGCCCGATGACAAGATCAACGTGGTGAAGTACTTGCAAGGCCGTGGCCTGGTCGTCGGCATGGCCGGGGACGGTGGCAACGATTGCGGTGGCCTTCGTGCGGCACATGCCGGCTTGGCCCTCTCCGATGCGGAGGCCTCCATGGTGGCTCCCTTCTCCACCGGCCGCCTGGGAACAGGACTGCAAAATCTTCCACTCCCAGATCAGCCTTATAGAAATGCACTCGGAGAGTCAATAAATCAATAAATTCCCGTTGACCTAAATTAATATAATGTATATATATATATATCATGAAACACCAAACATAACTTTATAGCTGAAAATTGTGTTCGGCTACGCACCCTGCTATATGTTTATGTATATGTATATACTTACATGGCGACTCGGACAAGTCCTTTGCGATTGCTGCAAGCATGATGTTTCACAACATCGCCACCGGTTTTGCAACATTGTCACCCACGAGTCCTGTGAGTAGGAGGTGGATGTGCGGGGTGATGGCTTTGAACAGAACATGTTGTCGTGAAGGTCGCTTCTTCTCTTGGTCATCGCGTCAGCATTTGTCTCATCTTCGTAAACCTTCATAATCTTGCTTATGTCGCCTCTCCATTCTCCATCTGCTTAAACAGGCAAGCTGTGAATCCAGCCAGCATACGTTCCACCGACCACGCAACAGTGTTGCGTTACGAACTGGGGGCCAAACAGCAAGGGCGAGCAACCCCAAAGTGCTGCAATTCAAGCTGCAACACACACACACACTTATTGAATTGCGTACGGATGTGAATGCCACTCGCCACACGGCAACCTAAGGGACCAGATTCCTGAGAGGAACATCGAAACCTGTGAATCCTGGAAGTCTTCAAACGAAGAGGAGGCCAAAAGCGCAAAAGCCCGAATCGACGAAACGACCGGGTGGCGGCGGTCGTGCGTGACTGCGGATTTCAATAAAAGTTCAAGCGGCTGCAATCTTTGGGGAAGGGTTTTGGGGAATATCATGACTCACCATGAAAACAAAGAACAGCAGAGAAGAGGAGAGTGTTGTCACTCGCAGGTACACAGGGCTGATCAAGCCCTGCTCCCCACTCTCGCCCACGGCTTCATTGCGTGTGGTAGGGTGAGAGTGCCACCCACACGCCCCTGCAGTAAAAAGCAAGTTGAGTGCTTCCCTAAATCCTCGCCGTAAATGGTCAATGCAGAAGCACTTTTTGGTAAGACACAGGCAGTGACTTCCCTTTGGCTCGTTCGGTCAAGCTCCCTCAAGCAAATGATTTGCCAGCTCCCCACTCCGACCGACGGCTTCCGCTCTCTCTCTCTCTCTCGCACAGCGGCCGCGGCGGCCCCCTGCTGAAGCAAGAAAAACGACGTAAAGAAATCTCTAATCCAAAAGGATCCCTGTGACTCCAAGGGGTACACACACACGCCTCCCCAAGGGGAGGCGCACGGAGACACATCCAGTTGACCATCCCCTGCAGCAAAAACAAGTTGAATGCTTCCCTAAATGCAGGCTGTAAATGGTCAGCGCAGAATCGCTTTTAGTAACACAGTGACTTCCCTTTGACATCCTTTGACTCGTTCGGTCAAGCTCCCTAAGCAAATGCTTTGCCGGTTCCCCACTCCGGCGGGTTCCGCTCTCTCGCTCTCCCACGGCAGCCGCGGCGGCACACGAAGGGTGATGACAAGAAAAGGAACGAGACGATGGTGTTCCCAGCTACGACTCAAGAGTCCAAGGACACACCCCACAAGATAAGAAGAGAGAGAGAGAGAGAGAAGGAGCGAGACGATGGTGTTCCCAGCTACGATTCAAGCGTCCAAGGACAGACCCGACAAGAAAAGGAGAGAGAGAGAGAGAGGTGCTCCCAGCTACGACTCCAGACGATGGTGTTCCCAGCTACGACTCAAGCGTCCAAGGACTCGCCAGGGAGAGAGGGGGTGTACCTGAGTGTTGCATCCAGGAACACCCCAAAAGAGGCGAAGGAAGAGGGGAGAGGGAAAAGGGAGGAAAGAGGATTGAGGCCCCCGACAGGTTACCGCTGTGGTCACCTAATGGCTTGTCCGAAGACTGCCTACTTGGAATTCAATAATCTGTCAGGTCTTGGCAAGCAACTTTGGCATAAGCCTCCTGCTGTCCGCTCTGGACACGCACATCTCTGGGCAAGGGAGAAAGACAAACCCCCGTTCGACGGGTCCACAGGGGGCACTCTGCGGGCTCACCCTGGGCTCTCACGAGGAGAGACGCGCTTATTGAATTGCGTACGGGCGTGAATGCCACTCGCCACACGGCAACCTAAGGGACCAGATTCCTGAGAGGAACATCGAAACCTGTGAATCCTTGGAAGTCTTCAAACGAAGAGGAGGCCAAAAGCGCAAAAGCCCGAATCGACGAAACGACCGGGTGGCGGCGGTCGTGCGTGACTGCGGATTTCAATAAAAGTTCAAGCGGCCGCAATCTTTGGGGAAGGGTTTTGGGGAATATCATGACTCACCATGAAAACAAAGAACAGCAGAGAAGAGGAGAGTGTTGTCACTCGCAGGTACATAGGGCTGATCAAGCCCTGCTCCCCACTCTCGCCCACAGCTTCATTGCGTGTGGTAGGGTGAGAGTGCCACACGCCCCTGCAGTAAAAAACAAGTTGAGTGCTTCCCTAAATCCTCGCCGTAATGGTCAATGCAGAAGCACTTTTTGGTAAGCCACAGGCAGCAAGCTCCCTCAAGCGAATGATTTGCCAGTTCCCCACTCCGAACGACGGCTTCCGCTCTCTCCTCTCTCTGTCTCTCGCTCTCTCTCTCTCTCTCTCTCTCTCTCTCGCTCTCTCTCTCTCTCTCTCGCTCTCTCTCTCGCTCTCGCTCTCGCTCTCTCTCTCTCTCTCGCTCTCTCGCTCTCTCTCTCTCTCGCACAGCGGCCGCGGCGGCCCCCGGCTGAAGCAAAAAGAACGTAAAGAAGTCTCTAATCCAAAAGGATCCACACTCGGCATAAGAGTTCGTGCGGAGGCCGCCAGTCGCCCAGAAGAAACCTTGGCATAAGAAAACCTAAGTATACTGTAATCAGGCGGTATGCAAGCCGGTCTTGTACAATATTAACTGGGTTGCATGTAGAGGTGCACGTATGCACACGTATACACTAGGGGCCGGACCGATGTGCGCGCAAAAGAGCAAAAGAACGAGGTGACCAGACAGAAAAGACATGAAAAGAAAGAGGAAAGGAGAGTGCGTGCGGGGGGGGGAATGAAAGGGGGGACCAAATGAAGGGGCCGGAAAAAGACGAAGCCGAACCTCATTAAAACCTATAAAAGTTAGGAACACCTTGCCTTGTTTTTTGTAGGTGAAGGCTGTGCGTGCACATAAAGGTCCGACAGATTTCAATGGATCTTGTCTTGAGAGAAGTGCGACTACTGCCATCTCCTCTGGCCATGCCAAAATGGCGGGCTGCTCTTGTCCACTGCAGACTGCTCTTGGCTGAAGGCCTGTTCAAATGCCGTCCAAGTCGTCAGGTCTTAATTCGCCTTTGCGCTAAGGCTCCTTCGTCCGCTGCGGACTGCTCTGTTCCCGGGCAGAGAGGGGGGACACTCGTCGGGTACACCCTGGGCTGGCATGAAGCCAGGCGCACTCGGGAAATGCGTGCGGAACAGATTTGCGGCTTGCCGCCAAAAACCTCAAAGTCTGGGGGGTATGAAACCTGAAAGCTAGAAGTGGTAAGGCATCCAACAAAAGTCTCAAAGTTCCAAAGGCTCGAACGGCTCGAGACGAGTGCGTGACTGCAGAAAGCATAGCCGACGCACAGGCCAGCAGCTTGTTGTAGTTGCCACGGGACCACATGGGAAATTCAACCTTAAACCTGCAGGTGCAAGTGGCTGATCAGACCGCTCATCCACCGAAATGGACGTGCACATCCACTTGATGCCCAAGACAACCCCCCCCGCATGGACACAGGATGCTCATGTACAGTGGCAGCTGTTTAGGTGTTGTTACTTTTGGTGAGATAATTTGGACGGAGAAACCTGATTCAACGTAAATCATGTACATGTTACATCTTCCGCACAAATTCATTCAACCAAACATGTCATTCCGGGAGTAACACGTCAGACGGTCTAACTGAACATGCGCTCTCAGCCTGAAAGCGTCAGTGGCCCAACACCTAGTTTTGTGTCACTTGATTTTGTTTGGTTTGGTGCGTTTGGGTGCACGTGTCAGCTGAGCAGGAGCAGCAAAACACGACATTTCCTTGACCACTGTGCCGGATTTGATTAGAGAAGGCCGCTCCTGCCTGTCTAGAAACATGGCAACCTTCACATACTTCATGGTCTACGCCTTTTTGCTGACAGCATTGCGGACCTTCTACATTGTATTCCTCAACTTGAGCCTTGGAGAGTGGGTTTGGATGACCAATGACATTGGCATTGGTGTCATCATGATGTTCTTCATGACGCAAAGCTGGGCTAGGCCAACCTTGGCCAAGTACAGACCCACTGCAACTCTCTTGGGTTTTCGGACGGTCTCCGGTGTCCTAGTTCCCTACGGTTTGGGCTGCATCCTGCTGGCCGTCCTGACGGTGATTTTGCACCACACTGCTTGGTATGACCCCTTGAATCCTAGCTGGATCCATGTACTTCCAAAGGATTGGATGAAGAAGGGTGACAACTACGACAGTGCCATTGGTGTTCTGATCCTTTTCATTGTGCTTAGCACCACAGCTTATGTCAACACCTATGGAGGTGATTTCCGACGAAATATTTGCCGCAATTGTGGCATCAATGTGATGTATGCCCTTTTCCTTTTCCTGGTCTTTTGGATGACCCTGTCCAACCCCAATGAACTCAACTGCATCTACCGCGTCAACTGTGACACAGAAAAGTCGCTAGCTTGCAAGAACATCCCTGTGCTCAGTACCTTCTCGGTAGGTGGCACAGGTGGCTGCTTCTTATCAGCACAGCTCAAGTACTGGCAGAATGTCACGAACTCGCTTGCTGACTACGAGCCCAGTGATCCTGATCACCCGGACTGGCTTCCGGAACCAGAGAATCACTGCCTTCCGCCTGCAGCTACTCTGGCAAAGATCCCCTTGAAGAGCACAATCATCAGCACAGGGAAAGGCTTCAGATTGTCAAAGGAGTGCATTGGTCCAAACAATTGCTATTCATGGAGCTTCAAGTGGATAGTCGCAGTGTGCTTACTGATCTATGTTGCCATCCATCATGGCTTCCTGCAGCTTGTGCTTCTTGGCCCGGTGGCACGTGCCTTGCGGGTGCGGCAGCGGGAGGAAGACAAACGCCTTCTTGATGATGGGCAGAGCTCGGATGCCAGCAGTGATGGATCTGACTCAGCTGACCAGGCGTAGAGTCAATGTAAACTGTAAAGGCTGTAAAGGGTAGACTACTTGGATCTTTTGAGCATCCTACCTTCGATGCAGCAATCTGAAAGGTGGAGCTCATTTTTGGGAGGAGAGGTTGAATGCTTTACCAGACAGACATGGGTGCCGTCGTTTTCGTTGGCTATATATATGCGCGTGTGTTTGTTGGCTCAGGTTGTGGTTGTTGGTAGTTATGGACAACTCTGATTGTTTTATTGGCCAGACATTTTGCGCAATAAAGTTCCCTCACTTTCAGTCCATCCACTTGGCAGCTTCTGAGGGTACTTTTCGAGTCAATCATCATTTGCTGTTCTTTTCCGTTAGCCATGGTCTCCTTGCCACCGGAGATTGTTCGCAACCATTCAGAAACTCTGTCGCCCAAGCAGGGCTGGCGGGAGGTTCTGGTCCAGTCCAACAAGGAGACCATAAACAGGTGCAGCAAGATTCCTGCACCACACGCGGCAGCGGTGCTTCAGCTCAATTGCTTTGTTCGTGCTTTCTTCCCAGGAGATGATCCAGGAAATGCTGGCATCGGCAGCCTCTGGACAAACTGCCAGGCTGGTTTCGCACATAAACGAAAGAGAGATGCAAAGGTCCAAGGAACAAGAATATGGAAAAAGGAAAGAGAGAAAGACAGAACTAATAAGAAAGGAAAGAAAGAACAGAAACACCAGAAGTGGCCATCACAGCCTCCATGAGGCAGAACCCGGAATTTCAGATTTCGTTGTCAGGAGCATCGATGACATTGCCATTGCAGTCGCAGAGAAGATGATGTCCACTGGGATTGCCACGCAACTGTTGGAAGAACCTGGGCTGAAAGACTTTATGTTCACCTTATATAGTTATCCGAGGTCGAACCCGTAACTAGCATGATGCACCATGATCACTATTTGCACCATCAAGTTACAGGTGACACTGAACATGCGTGACAATGCTGAATTGCCTCTCAAACTGCTTTCCACGGTGCAAACGCTTCTTCCAAAGATCACGCAGAGCACACATTTTAGTGGCTTTCGTTCCCACAAAAGAGAGTATTGGTGCCGAGGAGAGTAGTGGTGCCTTAAGCCCAATGGTGAAGTATGCCTCCACAGAAACAGCAGAGAAAGGCTTGGCTTACATTGGGGGCTTTGGGAGAGACACTTGAGCTGCGTCCAATGCCGTCAGTAAAGCACTTTAGACTCTAGTCTTTTGGGAACTTGATTTCAACAACTTGAATGGGACACGAATGGGACACGCGCGCAAAATGTTTCACGCAAGGCTCCATGCCAAACTGAACCAGCTTGGATGGCATGGTTGTCTAGTCCTTTGAGTGTTTTGCTTGTTGAAGAAAATTGGATTGAACTCGGGGCCTGTTTGTTCAGTGCTCCCTTTTGTTAGCGTAGACTTTTGTGACTTTTTTTGTGCAAGGTTGACGCACTGTTTCCGCAAGCACCAGGTGCACTCCCCTAGCTATCGCAAGATCACGCAAGCTGTTGTTTAGGATATGCCCTTGCACAAGCTCCCACTGGTCGCGTAAGGATTGCGCAAGTTTCGCGCAAGGGTCATCAATATCATTTTTTTGGTTTATAAGGAAGCTTTGAACACTGCTCACCTGCTACTGCTATACTTTCTGGATAAGGGCAACCTGAATGTTTGAATGTTCGCGTAAACCGCACACGCGTGAATACGCAGAATAAACCCTGCGGGATCCTGCGGGGGCTAAATCGGCACCTCTTTTCTACGACCAAGTCCAAAAACACTGCGCAGGCCATTCATTTTGGAACATTTTGGAGTTCAGTCTGTTGTCACTGTTTCCTGTTTCCTTGATTTATGAAGTGAAAACGCTCGACACCTGTGTTTTGAGTGCCAAAGCCTTGATATGTTGGCTATGTTTCTTCGCTCGCCACACGGCGTTTGTCATTTGAACATCTTGGCAAACATTGTTTGCTCTGTTCTTTTGAGCAAGTTCCGTTTTTGTTGCACGTATTGCCGTTGGAATTGACGAGTATAGTGGAGAAGCAAGGGGTTCACCTTCTTGTTCTTCGTGCGTGTTCGCAACGATCCCGGAACTTGCTCTTTCAAACATTTCCACAGAGCATCGAGTGTGCCTGTGTAGGCCTGGACAGCAGGCCGGGGACCTCTTTGGTAGGTCTTGACAGAAGTTCCTGCAGCTGCTTTCTGCTGCGAGGGACTTGTAGCAACCAGCTCATCACTAATCAAAGCCGTGGGTGCTCCATCGGCCGCATATGACTGCAGCTTCGATAAAGCATTCGTAGCACGGTCTTCCACGAAAACTGTTTCCCGAACAAAAGCACAAATGGGATCCAACAAACAATTTGACGTCAACACGTCTGTCAAAGAGTCTAGATACAACGCATCCACAAGAAAGAAAGGGGCCAAGACTCAAACGAGAAAAAAGGACGTGACCAGACAAATGAATGAGTAAAACCAACACAACAGACAAAACCAGAAGGTCATCCTCCGACATTCGAACCAAAGCTGTGAGACATTTGTTGTCAGTCCAACGGACGTTACTGCCCACCCACCGACCCAAACACCGAAGCCCTTCGATTGAAGCGATAATATGTGTTTAACAAGTAAAGCTATCAGTGTGGGATCTGACAGCATGCAACATGTACACAAAATGCATAGAACATAGGGGCCGGTTAAGCCCCCGCTAGCATAACATTGTTCTTCCTCTTCCAGGATTTGGTCAAATAAAAGAATCACTGACTGCAGCATCAGCCTAGGTGACCACAGAATTTCAAGAACGCAAGATGTAACGCCAGATGACCTAGCTTTGTTCGCAGAAATTGCACTGCGTGAAGTAGCTGCTGGAGTTAGGCAATTGGGTATGGATGAAACCGGCTGGAGTGTGCTAATTGCTGGAGGCAGAAGTGACCAACACATGTTTGCTTTTGGTTGTTTTTGGCTCGCGGCTGATACGCCGCCCTTACGCCTGTCACGATCGTGGTTCGGTTTTCAGGGTAGTTTGGGTGGGGGCTCGGGAAGGTGAGGGGCTCGGGGAGATGAGGGGGGAATGATCGGGTAATGACGTACTTGTAGCGATGTAAGTTGTAAGGATGCATTTATCGTATCTCACTGCGATTTTCCTTTGAGTAAACAATTCAGGTAATGACCTTCAAGTCAAAGAAACTTGCGCGTTGAGTTGTTGAGTTGCAAAGTGTTGCGAATTAAGAGGAATTATCATGAAAGAACTCTTGGCTAGATTCGGCTAGATGACTGCAGATCACCTATCATCAGACCTTCAAGAACACTTTTCCGATTTCTTTGTCTCACACTCGTAACAAATGAGCGTTTCGCTGTAGTGAAACGCTCGACAAGCATTTTCCTCCGCAAAACGTGGGAAACTCAATGCGCAGGCACAGAGCATTCTAAAATGAACCTGTTCTGAATACAAACAAAACATCCACAGACAAGAAAACAACCAAAAAACACGAGCATACAGTTGCAGGTCTGCGTATTAGTAGACACGTCCCTTGCTTTTCTCTGCTGGCTGGCATTGAAAGTTCGGGACGGAATGCCCTGTAAATGACAACCCTTCAAAGTCAATACGTGGGCTGGCATGAATATGAACAGACAGCGATGCTGACATAGAGAACTGGGTAGCTGCGTAGCTCATACTTTGTGTTGCTTGCACTGAGTCAGGTTCCCTTCCGCCCATCTAGGCACAATGCTCCACACGATGTTGCGGGCAAGTAAACTTGCCCAACAGATTGTTTGTAACATTCTCACAGGTGTGTGTTTGTGTGGGTGCCCCAATTCTGGCGTTTGAGAATCCAACCCTGCTGATGGATGCTTGAACATGCCAACATCTCTTGATAGACACTTCCTGCAAGGCCCACAGTTGACAGATATTCAAGCAGCTCATTGGGACATTTGGAGCGGCAAGGCAAGCGAGTGGAATGTTTGACAGCATTGAGGTTATGAATCTCCGGCAAGGTTGATGATGCAAGCAAAGTGGATCAACTTTTGGAGCAGCGGAAGCTCTCAAAGAGTTCACCCCATGGCGGGAGAACCTTGGTTTACAAGTGGTGCTGTTGCAGCTTTGTTTGCAACTGCTGTCATTTTGCCACAAGTTTGGCCAGCACACCCTTGACAAGGCAATGAGATGCTGGTCCTGGTGGAAGAAGGTGACTGCCCAGATCATGGTAGCTGCACTTCAGAAGAGGAACGAAACAGGCACTTTCCGCACCTATACACATGTTCGCGGGTGCGTTTGACGGCGCATGCACAGCTCCAAGCACTGACTCAATAGTACTGAAATAGCACAGGCACTGCCAGACTCTTTGGGGGTGGGTGTGCACACACACACATCCATATATAAATATACATGTATATATATATATTTTTATTTATTTTTAAAATATACATACACACGCAATACAGCACATTTAAGAAACAAGGAGGCATTCCAAACAATCAGGTTCAGCAAAGTCACCATTCAGGCATGAAAGTTTTAGGAAATGTAGCCGGATATTTAATTTAAGCTTACTTTCAACGGGCCTCCAGCGACTGCTTGCACTAGCATTGCCAGACTCCTTTTCTTGATTTGTATGTTAGATGCATTTAACGTTGCCCGGTTGCTCAACCTGCTCTTGAAGAAGCCGTCGTTTGGAATTGACCAGTCCATGACGACCATGTGTAAAGACGTGTGCTCCAGTTTCTTCTTTGGACCATTTTTAGGGGTGGCACGCGGGAAGGGTGGAACCAAGGGAACTAGCTAGCGAATCCTTGCGTGATCCTTCCTACGATCGCTTGGTTTGGTACGCTTCCCCGTTACGTCAGTTGCCTCAAAAGAAGACATCGCCAGGTTGAATGCCGTGCAATCACGGAAGTCGTGTGGCCTACACAACCACAAAAGCCACAGCAACAACAATCAGAACAAGAACAACAAACTTTGCGCCTCATGGTTTGGAGTGCAATGAAGACACATGTCCACCAAAGAGCGGCCCACGTTTTGGTTGCTAGCCCGCTTTGGCTGATTCAGATAGTTTTCAGTACTGGTGCACTTTTGCAGACATTCGTGTGTTGAGCAGTGCTTTCTGTCATTGGGTGATGGCGCATCGGAGGATGCAGGCAGGACTGGAGCTACGGACCACCACTCAGCAGTATACTTGGATGCGATGGAAGGCAAGGCTTTGCTTGGTTTTGCACTGGCTGGATTGGAGGAATCACAGCACTGCAACTCACTCAAAGAGCCTCAGTTTGGTCACACTTGCTCGCTGCAAAGGAGAAACCTACATCAGTGTTGCTTGTGGCGAAACAAGGCACGTGGTGGCCAAGACCCTGAACGGAGACTGGTGGGTCCTTTTGCGGATTTTCAAGGATTACGTCGGGCAGGATCCGGCAGGTAATTTGTTTCCTGAGCAATTCCCATTCCTGGTTTACCAACAGGCACTTCTAATGGGTACCACGACTTTGTTCAAGTATTTTGTGTTTTCTTCAAAATTCTGCGCGTTCATTTTTCAGCAATTTGCATTTGTTGGAAATGTTTTCTCGTATTGAGGGGCGCACAAGAATTCCCAATAGTCCTCCTAGGAACAAAAAGGTGCCTTGTTTTAAATAAGGTGTGTCGTTGAACTGGAGTTGAAATCCTTGTGCTATTGTGTCGTTGACAGAATTGGTTCGTTGACATTGCAAACGCAGAATGGGATAACAATTGCTTGTCCGTAGTTCCGTGGTTGTTCTTCATGTAGACCCATTTGTAGCCGTAAAGTTGAAAATTATCGTTTGTCACTGATCTTAGTGTTGGTCCTCCTGGTGCAAACCACGGTGGACAAACTTGTGGGTTCGGCATGTCCTATCGTGCTTGTGGTCATTTGTTGTTGGGCTTTTTGTGGTGTAATGCTGCTTTTCACATGTTGTGTATCAAGGTTGCTGGGGAGACACCTGCACCGGTGCTGGGCGCCTCTTGTTGCTCCGTGACTGAAGAAGATCCACTCCAGAGATGCTCCGTGAATCTTTGGTGTTTGATGCTGGCATGGCATTCACCGCATTCACCATCTGAACTGTTGTTTGTCAGGGTTCTTGCAATGCAAGCTGTTTTGACTGTTGCCATCCTTGCTGGTTCCCTTGTTGGTTCCATCCTATACCGGCCTATACCATTGGTTGTTATACGTCTGTTGTCCTGACAGCCAGTTTGCTGCGACATTTGGTGCTGTTGGCCTGGTGCTTCTCTTATGTTGTGTATTGCTACCCTTTTGAAGATCCCTACTTATTTGAAACATGGTTTGTCGATCTTGTATATACGCGCGACGAGTCGCGACATTACATTTTCTGATTTGGTGTCTTCCTCAGTTTCTTACGTGAAAGGCATCTATAAACATCCTAAGCAACTTGTTGGTTTCTTTCGCGGCCCCCACGAACCGGAGAATTGCACGAAACCATTCCCCACAACAACAAATTCCCGCTGAGACCAAAAACGCCATGCGGTTTCACATTAGGGGGTCCGTTTTAAGGAATTTGGCAAATTCTGGCAAGCTGTTCTTCGTTGAATCAATTGAGTTATATAACCCTGGTGTAGGTGATGTCGAGGTGACCCGCAGATTACGTGACATTGCATCTTGGGTTGATTCTCAAGGCCCCTGGGCAACACCAGCAGGGCATTTTGGTGTTCTCAGTAGCTCAAGATCTGGTATCATATAACAAGTGTTTGTCCCCTTTTTGCCCAGGATGCTTCGTGATTTTGGAGCCTGACCTGTGGGCAGAAGTGCAAGGAAAGCCACCTCCAGAGTTCTCTCCTCCGAAGAGAAAGCAGACCAAGGACTTGTGGGTGCATCATGCCTTAAGTCCTTGTTTCTTGGGTTCTTTTGTTTGCACCTCAGAATCTTGGCATGGTTCCCATAGGAAGCAAGCAACAAATGGCGCTGGGGCGATGGGCAGGGCCTGGTCCCTGGCTTTGCAGAGCGGGTGCGGACGTGGACACCGGGCAAGGCTAGGCGCATTCCCTTTCATACTCATCAGTGTGGCAGCCTAGAGCTTTTGCAGGACAAGCTGGAAGAGAGCATTGATCTGGTTGTTTGTGTGGGCGGTGATGGTGGCTTGGCTTAGTCACTTCTTCAGGCTCCATATTGCTGCTTCATGGAGGCACGTATTCAATACGGTGTGTGGCTGACCAATTTGCAGGAACCCTATGCTGGGCATCTGGGCTCTTCTCCAGAGCCATGCCTCCCGTGATTTCTTTTGCTGCTGGCTCTTTGGGTTTCTTGACGCCTTTTCCTGTTTCAGACTGGCTGAAAGTGTTGATGCCCGTTCTTGGGGCAAAGTGCGAGGCCGGTCCCAAGCCATGAGTGGCTGAACATGTTGGCATTGTAGAATCTTAGAGGACATGACTTTGAGCAGGCGCTATGTTCAAATCTAGGGCAGACGAGGAATGTAGCTTGGCAGGTCCACCCTCTTCAAGTGGCATGCAGGATGCGGTTTCAGATGCGCCTGACAAGACAAGATGAGGACGGGAAGCTCTCAGACAACGTTTTCCTGCCAGGCTCATGTTTGCTCAGAGGTCCCTGAAGCCTTTGGCTTCTGAAAGCCTTCTGGGCTTTGTTTCATGTCATGTTCCGACTCCAGTCACATTGGCCCAACAGCTGCAACAACAAGGTTGCCTCATTCTCTTCCCTGACAAAACTCTGATTCCTCAAACCGATGATGGCTTCAGAATGCTACAATCGAGATGGTGCAGGTGAACGGCGTATGGCGGCTCAAGGCATGCCAAGTGTCCCTGATTTAAGTCCCGCATCAATCTCTTTTTCATTCTATTTATAGCCGCTGCTGCCTGGCTACCGCACGGCTTCTGCAAGAGCCTACCCGCTGCAGAACCCTATGGGCGTTTGCTCCATTTGTCCCAACAATTGAATAATGTGGGAGGAGTTGTTCATTTGCTTGGCTAGCTTGTTTGGAAGTGAATGTGCGAGAGGAAACGCCTGAAGATCCAAAGCCAATCCCTGTTCAAGCAATGAATGAGGCACCATTGATCTTGTTCCATACAGGAATCCAATCAAATCTTTGACCAGCAGCTGTTTCTTCGACTTGCATGTCCAGCAAATCCAAGTGACTGTGCGCCGATTTGCGAGAGGTGTTGGTGCACAGAGGTTCCAGCCCCCACCTAGTGAAACTGGAAGTCTTCGCGGGGGCCTCAAGACGGACTTCTTTTATCAAGGCCCAACACTTCAACTGCATGATCCCGACGGAGGGTGGTATCACAAGCTCAGGTCAACGACAAGCTCGTCACAATGGTACAGGGAGATGGCCTCATCATTGCAACGCCAACTGGAAGTACGGCCTATTCATTGGCAGCTGGGGGGTCCATGATGCATCCAGCAGTGCCGGGCATCATCCTCACGCCTGTGTGCTTGAGGCCAAGTTCCAGGATGCCAGCCAACGGGCCATCGGCTTGCTGTGGCCACAGTTTTGACACTGAGGTCCCCATTCCTTGTCATTCCGTCCGGTGGTACTTCCAGATAGCGCGGCCAGGGACCTGGCAGCAGTGTTTCGACGAGTTCTGCAAGGAAGCTTCTCCCCAGGGAGAAGTTTCTTGAAGAACTCCAGCTCTTTGGTGCCCTTTCTTTGACTCAATACTTGACTGAATAGTTGACTTCTGCCGCTTGCTCCATCCATCCCCTAGCCCACCCTCTAACAAAAACAGGAACATGCAGAGAATGCAAAGGCAAGAAAGCAAAACTGATGAGCTGCCGAAGTCAATTAATGTTCACTAAAGTTCTAGAAACCAAATCATTAGTGCGTGAGCTATCCTGCGTCCATATGTAGTAGCGTCCTGTAGCTACTAGCGACTCCTGTTTGCTAATATATATATATATATACACGAAAACCAAAAAAACAGATCCAATGCTTCGAGGTAGTGAAGGTTCAAGTTCCGCTGAGCTCACGAAGTTCTCGCGTCATGGTGGCTGTTGATGGCAAGGTCGGGCAAAGAAACTACATGTTAAACGAAACATGCAACGCAAACACTTTCCCTAATTATCTTACTAGCTACTACTTAATTTTCTTACGTACTAGCTTTATTCCATAGCTTACTTACTAACCTTACTTACTGCTAGCTATGTTCCCTAAACCCCATAGCCTGCTCCCACCCCTGTGCTGAGGACAGGATTGAGCTGAAGCGTGGGGACTTCATTGAGGTTGAAGTTTCCCAGTACCCAATACCGACAGTTTGCAAGTCATCTGCGGCTCGACCAGCAACAGAGCAGCGGCAGTTGACAAAGTGAGATGCATGGCAGTCAATAGAAGCAAAAGCAATCACTTACTGAGGTAACTGCGGATTGGTTCAGGTCAGTGAATGAAGCACTACAGTGGAATCTCCGACTAGAGCAGAAGAAGGCATGAAGACTAGCCTTGGCCAACTTGTATTGCACGTGGCGAGTATGTGGTCCGTATGTGGCCCATTTCATGGTTAATGGATCTTAATGGCTTACCTTGCACGGCCGGATGTGAAGCTAATTGCTTGTATATACTTGTATGCTCCTTTTCCTGGCCCTGCGCACCGGTGTTTGAAAGCAGAGTTATATATCCTTATTAAGCGCACTAGGATGTGACTTTCCTGTTGGTTCCCCACGCATTGTTGGGCTGCCCAACTTGTTGCTTTCCTCCAGACAGCTCGGAAACCTGAGCTGGCTGGACAATCCATGAATCTTTTGTCGGTATGGATGCAAGACGCTGTAAAGATTGAGGCCTCTTCCAGCATAAGTTAAGCTGAGGGAAGGTCCCAAGAGTGCAGGGTTGACTTTTGCACCATCTTTGGCGTGCCAACTTCAGAGGCCAGCCTCTCCAGACGTGCCAAACTAGGCATGCTGTCATTAATCAGAGCTGATACCAACATCCTGCATGCTGTGCGAACAGCATTAGAGGAGAAACAGTGCTTGGAACAATTTGCCGGTTGATGCTGACAGTCCTCTCGTGCTTGGAAATTCATAGCAGACCTTCCGTAACTCTGCAACCCCCTGGGCCTCCTTAGGCCTTAGGCAACGCGCTCATCATGCTGCACGCAGGCAAACCACTCCTTTTGCTTAAAAAGGCCAGTCAGTTGCCAAATTCTCGAACTCCGAGCCCCTTTATTTCTGGCGCCGGAGCCGTTGATGCTGGCAGCTATGAATGTTCACGGGGGCTCAATGACCCACGGACCTACTTATGCCATTATGCAGCTACATTGGGGTCCGGGAGGACTCTTTGGGGATCATATCCAGGAACCCTAATGATTAAATCATGCTCCCGGCTTTTTCAAAGTCAACCAAGGCAATGAATGGGTCAGCAGCCTAAAAAACAAGTCTATGAACTTGCAGTCTTTCATCTCGGGCGAAAGTATCGAAATTTCGGTAATACACATCTCGTTTGTCAATAAGAACTTGTGAGCTGTGTTGTTGGCGTGGTCCAGATTGGAATTTGGAATTTTGGCTCAAGTTGGATCCACGTTGTTTCATGTGATGTGGGATATGTTTGACGACTTTCTGGCCTTCGTCATTGTCATCTGGGGGTTCGGTTTGCTGCGTGGTCTCACTGTCAGGCCAGAACACAGGCACTGGCACCCTAAGAGATCCACACAGATCATTCCAGGCCTGGGATGGCTAGCTTGCTCCTGCCAACCGCAGAAGAGTTGGCAAGGATCACGCTTCGCGACGATGGGCTGGTGCACTGGCAGCAAGCTGTGGGTACGGTCCCAAACCTTCGCGTGCTGGCCAGCTCGCCAGCGCCTTCATGTGCGAATCAATACCACTACCCTCGGCAATGCTCGAGACTTCACCGTGGCATGGAGGTCCCGGCAAGATACGGCATATTGACCCACTAGCGGGCCCACAAGAAGGTTAGAACGGCTGCGGTCTTGGACCAACTGCACGAGTCAGAAGTCTTAGTTTTGATTCATGGATCCGCCTGCAGATGCAGGATGGGTATTCCTGAGGCCCTCACTTTCGAGATATGGGGTTGCATGTTGGGTCCGCAGATACCGTTCGCCACTTCATGCTTCGCCACCCTCCTGCCGAGCATGTGGCGAGGCCTGCTAGAACTTCATTGTGAGGGGCGGCAAAGGCTACCATCCCAGAATTTTCGAGCCTGCCTCAGAGCTTCCAGGGTTGGGCCAATCCAAGAGAGCGCTGGGCCAATCAGGGCCAATCAAGGCGTTAGCGCATTCTCTTGGAGATCCGGCATGGACAAGGCCACTGAGAAGCAGCAGGAGCAGCAGAAGTCCGCAGGAGGCCGTTCAGCCAATGCGGATGGCGTTGAGACCTGCAATGAATTTGGCAGGGGGGCAAACAGGTGAGGAGGAGGAGGAGAATAACCTTGAGGAGGGTCATGAAGGCATAGTCGGACTCAACCAGTGTCCTATCCAACATCTCGGCTAACTCCAATCAAGCACGACGGGGGGGCAATCTCCCTCTGCAGATGTTGCTCAATATTACGCGATCGTCCATTGAATTTTTGGTCGTACAGCAGTTGCAGGAACAGCAACAGCGTTGGCACAATTTCGCGCGCCGACAGGCACCGAGTACTGCTGTGGGAGGCTTCTTCACTCGCGGCGTTTAAATTTTGATCCGCCGCCTGGCTCGCCCACGAGAAGTTACCGTTCCACAACTCATCGACCTTACTCAGCAGTACCTGACCTGGACGAGGGCTTCTTGGCCAAGCAACTACTCCCACTTCTACATCAACTCTGTCGTTTTCATCTACCTCGCTCGCTTCTACATCACCACTGTCGTTTTCTCACCCTTTTCGATGATGCAGATAGCTCGGACACTACGGCCTAAAACAATTGCCGTTCCGCCAATTTCAGTTCACTCACAATTCTCCACCCTTTGAGCTACACGTTGAGTGCATGATCCTTTCAGTTGCTTCCTCATAGTTCATTGGCTCAAGTTCTCAAGTTCCAATTGTCCTACCCGCCTCATGCCACTCTCCGATCCGCCCGTTCTACTTACATTGATGGCTGCTCGTCTCCAAGCTGCGAATGTTGCTCTCCGCCTCCTGCTCCAGTCCGGGCACTAATACTTCGACAGATCACCGACTGACTGCTTCGAGACCACCTATCACTTGGGCACCTGGATCTCAGTACCAGGACGCTCCCCACCTTTCCCCTTCCCTCCACCACCTCTCTCTCTCTCTCCTCCTCCTCCTCCTCTCCCTTCCTCCACCCTCTTTCTCCACCTATTTCTCGTCACTCCTCCCCTTTCTCTCTCTTCTGTCTCTCTCTCTCTCTCTCTCTCTCCCCGCCCTCAATTCCCCTTACAGCCTGCTCCTCAGGCTGATGTCTTTGTGAAAGCACCTAGCAAACTAGAGAACCAACAGCCTTTGCTGGAGCCGCGTCTTCCAAACTTGCAACGGGCTTGAGTCCGCTTCAAAGACGGAGACGGGGCTATCAACGTCCGGATGGGCGGTTGATCGACTCATCAAATGAACACAAGCAGTCGGTTGTGGAGCACCATGTGAGTCACGCAGGGGTTGGTCACTTGGAACCTGATATTGTCCCACGTTGTGCGAAGGAAAGTGGTCAGACCACCTGGTTGTTAACGCTTCGCCCAACGAAGACGGCAACGCAGCAAGAAGCGTCGACGCCACTCGGCTCTCCAATCTCGAAGCGTTGGGCTTCACCTCTATCTTACCAGTGAGGCTTGTGAGAGCATCTGAAGCCAACCAACGTTTGTACGCCTGGCCACATGTTCCATTAACTAATTCCACCACGGACCAGCAAAGAAGCGAACATCGTGGACCAGTGGAGTAATTTCAGTAATCCAGTCTCCACACCTCAATGCAGCTTGATGAGAACCTTCATCAGGCAACCGCGGCAACGCAACCGATACAGTTCGGAGATCATCTTTCTGAAGCGGTTCTCCAGTGCCTGCTCCACACCCTGCATCTGTCGGGGGACTCGGTGGCGGTGATAGAGGCATAGAGGTGTTGTTCTCCTCGAGCTCCTTCTTCACTCCACTGCCCCAAAGTCCATTGGCCTGCTGCCACAGTGACGCGCAGTGCTTCTGATGCTGTACTTCTTGACTGTCGAACTTGCCCTTCAGGTCCAGCAAATGTCGCTCCAGGCACTGAAGGCGCACTTGTTGGAAGTTTCTTTTCCCTGGTTCATGACCTTCACCATGGGTTCAGAGATCACTCCCCAACTTGTTTGGTCACTTTTTGGGATGTGTGGGATCAGTTTTCCCACACCCCACTTGACCTTCATGTGGGCTCGATCATGTCGGTTCAGCCTGCCTTCACAATCCCCCTGAAATCCCTGAAATACGTCACATACCCTGGCTGTAGGTGCTTCTCCCCACCAGGAATCAGCCCACCATGACCATGTAGTTCAAATACTCCACCATGTTGACCTTGTAGTTCACGATGCCTGGCGCAGCAGATCATTCTGCTTTTGGAGTTCTTCCACCGTCTGCCTCTCAAAGGCACACTGCAAGCTCCCATCATGGTCTGGTACTTCACGACGTCCTTGATCGCCACGTTCACGTTCTCGACCACGATGTCTTCGCCCATGCAGCTTGGCATCTTGCTCAACGTCGCGCGCGGCCTTAGTGTTCATCTTCGTCCAACCCCGCATCCAGCTTCTCGGCGGCATAGGTGGTTCCTCAGCACTGCGACTTCCAGCAGCCCCTCCAACTCAGTCGTCGGCCATCAGAGATGGCTTGCTGGACACTGTCTCTTGCAGCTTGAGTCCAGTGATCGCCCCGATCTCGACTTAGCTCCTCCTCGATGCTTTTCAGGTCAGGCGCGCCATCCATGCTTCTTTCGCCCTCGATCACACTCTCGACCTCCAAGGTCTCCTCTTCACCTGCGTCGAGGTTGAAGAGGTCACACAGACCATGATCCGCTGGCTGGAGTTCTTCCGAAGATGCACCTCAGTCTGACTCATCTGGCACCATCGGCAGGTCCTCAGGTCGAGCATTTTGAAGTCGCACTTCTTCTTGAAGCTCCCTCCATTATGCGTGGGCGTAATTCGGGACCGCTAAGTATTCAGTAACTAATTTCCGGCCTTGTTCAAAAACTTACAAGTACACTGACCTGCCACCTTTCCGTTTGTCGAGTCAAGTGCTAGGTATTCAGTATCTAGATCGCGGATGTCGTAGACAGCTCTTGCGAGCCCTGATCAAAGTGTCCCACTGAGGTCTGTTGTGTGATCCCCGCCGAGGGGCGCGTCTTGCACACGCCCTCAAGGGTGCACACTGAACAATTGTTTGCACTCGAACATAACTGATTCAGCCGCTTGCTCGAGAATGCTGAGCATATGCCGCAGGGCTTCTCACAGAATGACATGCCACGCCGCTAAGTACTCATAGGCACTCGGCTAAGTATTCACCTTTCGGTTCTTTCCTTCTGCGGTTGCTCTTCGTTTTCTAGGTCTTTCTTCTTTACTAAAGTCTTTTTGGTTGTAACCGATGCTTTTGGAGCGCCGTTTTCGGCTTTCTGGTCAAGTGCCTTCGGGCCTGAACTGGACACCCCACCCCGCCCCACACCTCTGCACCCTTTCCTTGCTTTTTTCGTTTGCTTGGTCTTTCCTTCAGGCTTGTTTGGTCGGCGTTTAGGCTCGTTTAGTCAATGCACGCCCAACCCCCCCCCTCGCACCCCTGCACCCTTTCTTTTCCTTCCTTGCTTTTTTCGTTTGTTTGTTCTTTCCTTCAGGCTTGTTGGGTCGGTGTTTGGGCTCGTTTAGTCAATGCACGCCCACCCACCCCCGCACCCCTGCACGCTTTCTTTTCTTTCCTTGCTTTTTTCGTTTGTTTGTTCTTTCCTTCGGGCTTGTTAGGTTGACTTCTAGGCTCGTGTCAACGCACACCCACACCTTTCCCCCCCTCCCCCCTCCCGCCAAAGGAACTCCAATGTACATAAAAGCAGGGGACCAGGCAGGATACATCCTGGTCAACGAAGCTGGCGATGTATCCGAGGATGTGGAAGTGGGACGCCATTTCCACGTACCTGCACTGTTATTCAGAGCAACCGAAGGAAATTGTTCTCGGCGGACTTGTGTGTCGGTTCCTTTCCTTCTGTTGACCCTTTTCTACTCTAATGGGGCGATTCGCAAGTCTCGCCTCCTAGCTACAAACTGGAAACTTCAATTTCTATCAATTTCTTTCCTAGCTAGTGTCTACCCTATTTGAAGCGATTCCTTCGGTCGCGCTTCCAGATGGAATTTACTCACTCCATTATATGCACGGGTGTAGTTCGGGACCGCTAAGTATTCAGTGGCCAATTTCCGACCTTGTTCAAACACCTACAAGTACACTGACCTGCCACCTTTCCGTTTGTCGAATCAAGTGCTAGGTATTCAGTAACTAGAGTGCTAAGCATTCAGTACCTAGATCGTGGATGTCGTAACGGATACAGCTCTTGCGAGCCCTGATCAAATTGCGTGTTTGGGAGACGCGCGCAATGCGCAAAGGCAAACAGACAGAATGCGTGTATCTAATTTGCTTCGATATCTCCAGGTTGTTTCCGCACGCATGTGCTTTGAGGCTACCGTGGGCCAAATGGGTTTTGCATGCCTCAATTGGCTTCCTTCCTCCTAGTTTCAGTGGGCCAAGATAGTCTGCCCCAAAAAGGGGGGGCGGGAGGAGAATGAGCAAAGATCAAGAAGGGAGGGGAAGACTTGGACAGGAGAGGGGGGGAAGGAAGAGGAGGGAAAGAGATAAAGGTCACAAAACAAAGATAATTTCACCCATAAAGTGTGATTTCACCAGCATCCAGTACAGAAGGGAACGGCAACCAAGCAAGAGTGAACTACATTTTTAGCACCCAAAAATTTTGCACGAAAAAACACACACAACCACACAACATTTAGCACCGGGTTTCACGAAATATTTGTATTGGCAAATCATTGATGGAAATCCCAGGCACAGCCCCAAGAAAGATTTGAACAGAAGAACGTGCCCCCCACGTTCAGCCACACGGCATGATTCGAAGGCTGCCCAAACCATACCACATTGTTGTTTCACAACCGCTTTGCGAACACACTGTGCAGGGACCCTGAACAAGAGATTTCGCAAGACACAGTGTTTGAGGAAGATGGTTTCCCATTTGAGTTCGGATTTTGTTTTTAATTTTTTTTTATTGGTGTTCATTCTGCATGTGTGCGTGTGATATATGCAATATGTAATATGATCAATGAAAATACCTACCTGCATACATGCAACTCCCTGTCGGCCCACTGGAGATTAGATAGGCAGGATTCGCAGACCATCACATAACATGTGGGTCGTTGAGAGGAAAAATCAAGAGGAAAAGTGACAGATGCAGCCACACATTAAACATATGTTTCCTTGTTTGAAAGATGCTCCATAGTAAGCATGCGATGGCCAAAGTCCAGGCATGGAGCATGGCCTGGATGATTGTCATTTGTGTTTGTTTGTCATTTAGTTTGTTCTTGGAGATGCTTCCAGGCCAACTGGCACTGTGTGCTATCATGTGGGTTTGCTCCTCAAGAAAGGCAACTTCCCGCGCCCTTTTTTCTGTTTTTTTTGTTAGGTCGGGGAGGTTGGTGCAGCTTGGGCCAAGGCTAGGCGCTTGGGCGTGCCCCACCTGTGGCCATCACGCGTCAAGGCAAGTTTCTTTTCTTGCACCTACTTGATGTGTGCAAGCAGGAAGCTGGCAGGTCTTCTTTCTTGCCATTTTGACATCGGTCTTCAATTTCAGTGTTTTCCAGTACTTGCATAACGCCAGGACCTAAGGTCACAGGGGCACAAGTGCTCTGACATTTGCAAGTTTGCACAGGCCAATGTCGCATACCTCAACCTGTCTTCTCCAGAATCAGATGAGATTGCTTGCAAGCTGCCGAGGGACTGCCATTTGTGATTTGTTTGGTGGTTCATTGATTTGTCTCCAGGGAACCTCGTGCCTTGCAGGAAGAATGTGCCAGCAACCCTGACCCTGCAAGCTGCACTGTCGATTTAGAAGACAGGCGCTTCTGGAGAGGCACAGCAAGCTCCCTTGCATCCGTGCCAGGTAGTTGATTTGATCCCGCGTTGTTTTTGCACGAACAGGTTGCTCTTGCGTTGGTAGGTTGTTTGGAAACGGGACGACTTGTTACCGTAGCGGTGCATAGAATTGGCTTGAAGAGATAAGTGGTTGAAACTTCCAGTGGAAGAGCCATGGCAGCGGCCTCACGGCCAAACCTTGAAAAAGCCACATGGTTGGGCCACGTGCAGCGTTTGCGCGAATTGCTTGATGAAGAGTGCTCTGAAGTGCAGAGAAGCTTATCTGAACATACCTGTGGCAACCAGTGGGATGCAGAGATGGATAGTTGCACTTTTCAAAACACATTCCTTCTCAACCGATGTGTTGCAAGGACATGCCAGTTTTACTAGCCATCAACCCATGAGCCCACCAGATCATGTTTTGATTTTAGAAACCTTTTGTACGTTGTCATGCTCTCCAACAAGCCACAAGAACCTTGATGTGCAACAGAAGGCATGAAGCTTTCATGAGAAGTTATTTTGAGCTTCAACACTTCGAGAGGTGCAGTGACCCATTGCACCTTTGACAATTCAAGTCTCCGGAACCAGTGAGCAAAAACCAATTCAACTGTCATTGTCCTCACCAAATTCCAATTGGCCTGCCTGTGAAGGCCAGTGTTTATTTGTTTTATTTGTGCCAGGGAACTCGGCCAAGACACCAGAACTTAAGTAGAGGCACAGTTTGGGGCCAAGGCCGTTTTGGCCGCGACGAGCCAGAGAACGAAATCCCTTGCCAAAAGGAGGAAGCCAACGATGCGTCCGATGCGAATTCGAATGTTTGTAGCGCGATGTCTGAACTGCAATCAGCTTGGAAGGGCGGAGAAGCCAACGAGGTCGTAGCACTGATCCAATCTGCTTTGGCTTTGGTGGGCGTTTACGAAAAGAACGCAAGCAGATCTGCTTGCGGAAAGGCTAATGAGGATGTGGATGGTTTGAAGGCTGCCGTGCTGGGAGCCAGAAAATCCTTGAAGGACAGATACTTGGAATCACTCATCTTGTGTTGTCCGCGGTGTGTTACCAGTTGTTTTGGGGGTAGGCCTTGTCCCGGAGATCAGAACGAATTGCCAAGGAGAGTGGTCATTAGTCGAGGCGAAGCACAAAGCCCAGCAATTGGAGGATGAGCGATTGCGACAGGACATCAAGATTCTTGCTGTATGCATCCAGCTCTAGCTCCATCTCCATGCAGGCAAGCTGTCAAATGTTGCAGATGTTTGCACAAACTGAAGCAGGACTGCCACATCCGGGCACTTCAGACTGCTTTGGACAAGGCGGTCTCATCCAGGACCTGGGTGCTTTTCAGTGTGCACTTTGGATGCTGGTGGTCAACTATTGAAGCTATTTCACACTATGGCAAGTGTTTTCTTTGCAGGACCGAGTCCGAAAAGCGCCACCTGGAGGCGTACTCGACTGCAGATGCTGAGGCATGCGGTATCGTGCTGTGAGATTACGTGCGATCTTGTCGCCAGCAACAAACATAATCTGAGAAGAATTTACTCGGGTCAGAGTGCAAAGCAACTGAACTGGAAGGCGGCAGAGCAACGAGGCGAGCTGCGTCGGAGGCTCTCTGCAGCCGAAGTGGCACGAGACCAGGCAGGAAGGCCAAAGGGACAAGAGCACAGAAAGCTGAAAAGACCTAATAAGAGCAACGTTAAAAACCCTCGTACCGGCCTTGCCACGAAAGCATTCCAGAAAGTTGAAAGTCAAAATTCGCAATGGGAAAAGGTGACATGCCGCGAAAGACCCTGCGCAGCACAGCACATGTGCGCACTGGGTTCTTTAGACGAGTTCCTTTGTTCGAACTGGACCAATTGGCTCACCTAGTCGCAGTGGTCGCGCAAATGATTCTGTGCCTGCCAACATGTTTACGGTTTGAGTGGCTTTCTTGTTTATTTGAGGAATCCTCTTTTTTTGTTTGGCTGATAGAGTCCGTGGCAACAGAACTTTGCAGACCAGACCAGGGAGCCAACTAGATTTAATATATAGTAACCTGATGTAACCTGTTTAAAGATAGATGCATATGAATATGTGTATTTCTGTTCTTTAACATTTGCCAAGAGGTAGAGTATTGTTAATAGAATGCATAGAAAAATCTGCAGTTGTAGTCTACCTCTTCTCTTTGCGTGGCATGATGTTTACGTCCCCCTCTCACACGCTCAGAATGTGTATATATATATGTATACATATATGCATATATATATATATATGCACAACACACTGCTTAACTGGGATTGACGCAGTCCGTGCTACAAAGGAAGGTTGTGAACCGACTCCAACCTGTGCACGCGCATTCACACCAGAAACATCGATGCTGTACTGTTTTTGGCGGAACGCGGCCAACCCTTTGTGACACAGTGGCGTATGCACCCAACCAATTTGGGTGGTTCCTTGCCGCGCTTGAGTGGGGTTTCCCGATGCTTCTCTCTCTGTTGGTTTTGTAGTGGCTTGCTCCAGGCAACAGCAGAACTGGCAGCCATTGAGCAGAAAGTGGAGGAAGCTCGCAAAGTTGCACAACGCCGTGAGGAGGAGAAAAAACCAAGTGTCAAAAGTTTGGGTCCAAACAATTAATGCATGAATGCCTTTGTGCAATGCAGCCAAGAGCATCCACATCAGTTTGATACAATATGTTATATATCCTTTTCGGCCGCAAATCAGCCAAGCTCAGCCAAGCTTTGCACCTGAAGTAGGTCTTTACCTCGGCCTTTCGCTCGCAATGGTTAGCACCGACATTGAAAGCCCGCACTTTGGGAACTTCAACGGCATCAGCGCTGCTCAAATTCGCTTAGGCTTCATTCGAAAAGTCTACGGCATTGTATGTGCACAAGTCACCGCCACGGCCCTTTTTGCAGCCCTTTGCTGCGGACCATTGCAGCATCCAGTCACAAGCTTTGTCATGCATTGGCCTAGCACTTTTCGGTGGGGATCCTTGATTGCCACAGGCCTCTCACTGTTTCTATGCTACACCGGCAAGAACAGTTTCCCGATGAACTTCTACGGTCTTTGTCTTCTCACTGCTGTCATGGCTTGCGATGTAGGCGTGGTAAGTGCATTGGCATCAGCTGCTGGGCTGGGGGGCTCTTGTGGCACAAGCTGCGCTGATCACTGCGCTCCTGGTGGCTGGCTTAACAATCTACACTTTCCGCTCGAAAAGAGATTTCTCCTTCCTCGGTGCGGCGCTATGGCCTTTCACATTCGGCCTATTTGGATTTGGATTGCTCTGCATATTCTTCCCTTCGCTCAACACGGGTTTCGTCGGATTGCTTGTTTCATTTGCAGGTGCAGTGATATTTTGTGCATACCTGGTTTTCGACACATGGCGCATTGCAAATGAGCTGGAAGTGGATGATTATGTGGAGGGCGCTGTCCAGTTGTACATGGACATCATCAATCTGTTCCTTTACATCCTAGAAATCCTTATGCAGCTGAGCAAGAGTGACAATCGGGACTAAGTCGCAAGCAAGACTGTCATGTCAGTGGCGCTTTGAACAGAAAGCCATTGGCAAGATCCTGGTGTCATTGCTAATTAATGCACTTTTGCGTGGCGGGCAGAACACAGGTCTTGAGTCCAAAGGAGACATTGCCCCCCCAATGCCACGATTGAATGCCTTCACTGATTGCATGATGGCATTTATACTAAGCCTTTAAACAGTATCAGCACTTCGTGCTGAGGGGACCACGGTCCCAAGGAGAGGGCGAACCATCGCTCTTCTCAAACTTCAAAACCAGTTGCAAAGATGCAAAACTACTGTCACTTGACCACTGCAAGTACAACAACCATCATCACACTCAGGCACTCCCTCCACACGCAGTGGCAAGACATATGTGAGCTTTGACTGCAGGACTTAGCAGACCAGCTGTCTGCGAAGGAGAAGGAGCTGGAGGAGGGGAGCAACACCAAAGGTGCAAGCCAGGCTATATATACAATTGAATTTTAGCACCAAGTCGCTAAGTCGGCTTGGAGTACAGTATATATATAATATATATGTTTTATATATGCAAATTTAAACATCCATAAGAACATTCTGGATACCTAAGCAACAGGGAGTTACGTCTTTCCGAGTTGAGCCATTCATTACCGGTGTGAATCAAAGCTAGGAATGTCAGCAATGCACAGCTATGTAGCAATGCAGGGTCCATGGTGTACGAAAGCCGATTGCCACGGCATAAGAATGAACTGGTATCAGAAAGCCATGCTGCCTTTGGGGCACTGACAAATATAGACCTTTATGTCTTTACTATGCGGCGATGGGCTCCTAACTTTGCACAGCTAAGGCAGTTGAATGTTGGGAAGCCTATTCTTTGCCTGTCATGCGCCAGGAGCTGCGGCAAAGGCTCAAAACCCAAGAAGAAGCACGGGAGAAAGGATGTGAGGACCAGTGACCATGGTCATTGTGAGTGGCGCGCATTTCGCATTTGCGCCAAGATGCCCACAGGAAGCCGCGTCCAAAGCCACGTCTAAGATGCCCAGCTTCCGCATCCAGGGGATGCCCAGTGGAGGCCATACAATCTCTTCGGGATCAATGCAAGCAATCTTGCTCAATCTTGTGTAGATATCAAGTTAGCTGTGAAAAGGTTGCAAGTTGCAGGATTTACGGATCGCCGGATTTTTCATTGGTGCCAGGAGTGTTGGAAGCTCACATGCAAGGTGTGGGAACTGTTATGACCACACCACGACAGCACTACGAGCCACCCAGCGCTCCCCGAAGTGCCCCTCGCGCTCTGCGGACTGCTGCTCGGGCCCCATCTCAGCCCACACCAGAGCAGAGGCACTGTGGTCAATGAACCGAAGACGGAGAAAGATGTAGAAAGGCGGTGAATCCCAAAAAGCTTGGCAAAAAAAAACAAAGAATTGAAGCTAATGTTCCAGTAGAAAGGTGCTTGCACTTTCGAGGATTCTCTTCAGATGGACCTGACTAGTAGGTTCTAGTTTGTAACGTCATATGCCGTTCTTTTTGAGTTTGCAGGCCACCAAGCAAAGCAAGTGCTCCAATGCCAATGGACCTTCGTTCCTTAGGCAGCTTGCAACCAAGCGTAGATTACTCATGATTAGTCGCTGTATCAGTCGACAGGAACCTGGCCACATTTGAGAGCGTGCATCAATCCAGCTCACATTCTCAGACATGGAAACATGACTGCAGGAAAACTGCTCAGTGGCGGCGGCATGCTGGGCAAGTAGAATGTTTGGAACATGTGCTGGAGGATACTTGAGATGGAGCAAGCGCCTCTGCATGTTCTGGTGCTTTGCATGGTAATGGCATTTCTTCCCCTGAAGGGGCCTGACACGTTTCACCAACTGGCGATGAAGTGATCAGCCAGGTCTAGAGAATCACGAAGACGTATTTAGTGCATCGAATGATAGCTATTGCATGATAGTTGTGTAGGCAGGCTCCACATGTACAGGGCTTACGGAGCGCACAAACGAGTTTCACACTAGATTGCAGCACTCAAACACAACCCGCATGCTTTGTGGCAAAAGTAGTGAATGTAGAAACGAATCAGGCTTGAAGAAGCTTCTCTTGATTGCCCTGTACCGCCTCACTCTAAATAGTCACGAAGAAAGTGCGGTTAAGCGTGTTGGCAGAATGAATTCCAGGTCCAGGGTCCAAGTGGCCTGAGCAATTCGGCAGGTTTGAACTTGACGACTCCTTGTCCTAAGCTCCCAGATTCATTGAAAGGCGGGATTCTGCATAGTTCTTGGCCTTGTGACCTGGTGATGTGCTGGCCTTCATTGATTATCAACTATAAAGTTGGTTGGTGCTCTTCATTATTTAATACCCCGACTGACTTCTCTCCATTCCAAGACAGGAACATGCATCACCCACACTCACCCCTCGGAGGTTGGATCTCCAAGGGGAGTAACTATCAGCGGTCGCCGGTTTTGTCAAGATTTTCCATTCACAATGCACTCAATTGGAGCAAGTGCAGATACGCAACTTGCATCAAGTTACAACCTGCGTGTCCCCGGGCATGCTCCGTGCTGACTGGGAATTCCAAAGGGAACCGGGAAGTTATACATGCCAGCACAGACGACCCCAGACTCAGATAGCATAACCCCTAGAGACAGCAGCAACAAGCTCGTCAAAGTTCGTTTTCAGCTGGTTGGAGATACAAAGCTTGCTCGGAAGCCACTTCTGAACACCAGCCCGTGCGTTTGCCTACAGAATGATAGAGCCGTCGAATGACACAGTGCCTCTAGAAGAAGGTCACCGGCAAAGGGACCGCCCATTTGCTAGAGTACTGTGCCAAGTGCTGTCCATTGCTTTTAATGAGTGGATTAGACAAACTCTAGTCCTAAAGGGCCACGGGTTAGAATTCCAAGAACGACTACTAAAGGCTAAGTGCAGGGCTGACCAAAAGTTAAGGTGAGACAGAGAGAGAGGGGGGGGAAGAAACAAAGAAAGACGTGTTGAAAGAAAGACAGACGCAAAGAAAGAAATCGACCCTGAAACCACCGCAGACACAGAGCGGAACGGGTAGAATGAAAGGCTGAAAAAAGAAACCACTGGACAACAAAGTGTTTGGGGGTCACCCCACGCTTGTTTCAACTTAGGGCTGTCCAACATGCACTTGAGAATCTAGTTAGGTTCCTAAGGCCCAAGGCTGGTTGTGTTTGAATATGTTATCTTGAGAGTTCAGTTTCCCACACCCAGACTTACAACAGCTGTTCTGTGTAGCCTGCGGACTTGCCAGGTCAAACATGTCCTTTCCTGAGCCTGCTGTGAGCCCATTGTGGCCATTAAACCTCAAAACGGCTGTCATTCTTAGATAGAGAGTGCCGAGGCTTCAAGGGCACAGAAATCAGAATGCATATTAGCATATATTAGCTTTTTCCGGTGACCGCATTGATGAATATATCAACAGGAACGGCACACTCACAGTTCAAGCCGAGCATGGGTAATTGTTGAGCTTCGTGCTGAGGTCGAAACCCATGGCTTCCGCTGCGTGCTGTTTCAGGTGATTTGGGGAGTTTGCACACAGTGAATGTCGGCAACGCACTCAGAGAGCACATTGAAGCAGTCAGTGAAACACTATTGAATAAGAGCATGTTCTCTTGGAAGATGCTTCTTTGAATTGGTCAGGTGTTCATCCTTTTCGGCTTTGGAGCATTTTGTTCTTGATCCTGACGTCCCTGCTCAGCTTGTCCATCCTCATTCATGACTGCAATGTGGGTGCCACGCGAAACCGGAATTGTCAAGAGCATTGAAGTTAGACCCTTACACACACGCACACTCTGACACTTGTATTCAGTGACTCAATTACCACGATGGGAAGGATGGTGAGGGAACGGCAAGGTGGCAAAGTCCGCTGAAAAGTATTGTTGAACATTGTTCACACAGGCACTCATACGTTCAAAGCGGCGGCAAGACGATCAAAACGGCGGCGCAGCTGCTGGGGAAAGAGTGGGTTTGGGGGAAGTATCGTGAAACCACCATGAAAACAAACCGAGAGTAGAA